GGAATCTTTTCATCTCTGTCGTGGAAGAAAAAGCACGTGATCGCAGTTGTCCGTTTCCGTACAGATGGCCTTGAGAAGTAGAATGAAGAAAAAACAAAACTTAGCAATTTATTAGGTTTTCTTCGTAATTTTAATCATTACCGCAAATGAAAAATGGAGAGAAAAGTTTTGCATTATTACATTCAACCTAAACTCAACTGTTTGTTGTTGTTATTATTATTATTATTATTATTATTATTATTATTATTATTATTATTATTATTATTAAAATGAATGCCATTATCATTAACAGCTATTATATGTATTATTATACATAACTGCAAATTAACTTAAAATTATCTCGCCTGAAACCTGAAACGGCAAAAGAAAACAAATATCGAAAATCAGTCATTTTGTAAATTTAGTACGAAACGAGTGTAATACTTTTCCCGCTCGTAATTTTCTTTTTGCCCCTATTTTTCCAAGAATATGGGTTTTCTCTCCGCCTAGCAACGCTCCTCTCGCTAGAGGCAGAAAATACTCCTCGAAGGACAAGTTGACTGAGGAATGCGGGGCGTCGACTCGCAAAGAACGTCGAGGTTGGCAGAGGTTTCATTGCCACTCCCGCGAACAAACGATTCGTCGGAAAATACTCCTTCTCCATCTTATTGAAAAAATAAACATCTTCGACGTACTATTTATAAGAGATTTATTCTGCATCTTACGACATTCTTAACGGAATACAAGCAATGTAATATCAGATATATCTGAAAGTTGGTATTGTTCTTTAAATTATAAATTAATGACTGATATTACTTAAGATACGAGACTGGTGAATTTCTTTCGCCTATTACGACACGTTCACGAGGTGGCGCAGTGCATGCCTTACACAGCCCTTCAACCCTCGACACGGGCACTGCATCTTATTTTCAAAATGTAGATAATCTGTTGTATTTCGCATCGATTAAATTTAAAAGTTAATCTCACTCGATTCTGCTTATGTTTGTGATTTTCTGTGGAGTTTTAACCCATTTAAAACCATACAATTCTGTCAAGTGTATTTTTGAAAGGTTTTATCGTGAACGCCTGCAACGTAGGCAACGCGCTCTTCATGAGTGCTGTTAGGAATGTGTTGCCTAGAGGTCTCCTGCCACAAGGATGCTAATCGTTTCCCACTGAAAGTCGGCTATTTAACACGATTACAAACACTAAATTAAATTACGAAAAAATGCAACCTCTTTCCAGAACAAGCATAATAAATTACTGAAATAAAAGGGCAAAATTTCGTCATATATTACCTTTATATTTAGATGTTTCTTGTACACAGAAATCATTTAAAAACACCTCACTAAAATGTATCTTCAAATAATTATCGTAGATCTACACAAAGTATTCTTTTTTATCCTTTCCTTTTCATTGATAGTGAAAACGAATTCTGCGTGGTAGCTGCTGTCCATCGAAGCACTTGCCCATGTTCGCTGTGCCCCGGGTCGCTGACCCGCCCCCTGCCAGCGCCGCTGAATAATTCATCGCGAGGGGTCAGCCGCAAGGCCAGGCCGGCAGACGCGCTGCCAACGGCGCAACCGCGGGAGCCTCCTCGCGCGCCCATGCGCTGATCGCAAAGCGAAAAACAATGACTTATGAAAGATTGACATGGAATAAACATTAATGTTACTCCCGAATTTGCGAAATCAAACTATAAACTCAATTTCACACACGGTAAAATACAACAATTGTGTCATTTAAATTTTAAAAATTGTAGGTAACGAAAGTGATTGTCTGAAACTCCTAGGTCAAAATTAGTTTATTTTTTCAATTATTTTGTATTTAACTCAGTCATGTTGCAAAAACATTTCTTCAGAATTCAGTTCCAAATCCACGCTACTCACATAAAATAGGCGCTTCATATTCATACTACTTAAATTCAATTATTTCTGTGACATTAGT